CCTCTGGGAGATCCATTGATCTGAGCCTACTGGTGGGGACACAATTCCACATGTGAAGACCCTGTGGCCCAGACAGTATCTGAGATCTGGCTGGGGAGTGCTGCTGTCCAGTTTTTAGAGAGCTTTGTCCCTGCCTCTGCTTCCCTGCTTGAAGTCCTCTCACTTTTGATGCTGCCTCTGGATCCTGGGCAGATGGCCCAGATGTAGGTCCTGCCCTTGAGGCGTTCACAGTCTGATGGGAAAGATGGACAGGGACAATACCTGTGATCAGTGCTGAGACCTGGGGAGACCCAGGGCTTGGAGCTGGAGGAAGGAGGGATGCCTCTGCCCCAGACAGGAGGGCTTCCTGGAGGGGGGGAAATGAGCTGAGCTGTGCACACTGAGTGGGAGTTACCAAGCGAAGAGATGGTTAGCAAGGGCATTTTAGGCAGAGGGAATGGCAGGAACAGGGTAGAGAGGAGAGAGATTGGAATGGAAGGGGTAGGACGCATGAGTGTTCAGTGTCACAGCTGCAGAAGGGGAGTGTGTAGGGGAAGGGAATTACAGGTTGAGCACCCCTGACCCCAAACTGAACTCCATCATGGTCCAAAATTTGAAACTTTCAAGTGTTGACATGACCACAAGTGTAAAATTCCATACTGTGGAACTTCGTTTCATGCATAAAATCATTTAAAATATTGTACCAAGTTGCCTTCAGGCTGTGTATATAAGGTGTTTAAGAAATGTTAATAAATTTTTTGTTTAGACTCAGATTACATCCCCAACATATGTTATTGTGTATACGCAAATATGCCTCAATTCAAAACACTTCCGGCCCCAAGCATTTCAGAGAAGGGATGCTCAACCTGGGTAAGGCTGGAAGAGGTCAGGGTCCCCTTAAACTCTGTTATTATTACATAAATTTCTCCGATCTCCCTGGCTCCAGTCTTGCTCCTCTAATATACCCACTGCCAGATCTTTTCAAGTACATATTGATCCATACATTCATATCTCATTCTCACCTGCCTCTTTCTTTACTCCACACAGGACGTGTAAATTCATTCAGCATAAAAGATTATAATCAAATAGTATTAAAAAAATAAACCACCTAGTTTAGAGGAAAGGAAAATATGGACAGGAAAGGAAATAGTCCAATGATAACCATCACTCAAACATACACTTCCTACCCTGCTCCCATAGTATGGGTATTGCCAAAAGGCAGTTCTGAGCTTCCTAGCAGCAATACAATCACCTGAGTCAACATGTTGTTTAAAAAAAAAAGTTTTAACTTTTTCTTTGCCTAATTTCCATGGCTATTTTCTCCAGTTCAATGTTGGGTAGAAGTGTCAGAAGCAGATATCCTTGTCTTCTTGCTGATTTTAGGGAGAAACATTCAATTTCTCACCATTAATTAGGACAGTAGATGGCCTTGATTGGGTTTAGGAAGTTTCTTTCTATTTCTAGTTTATTGCATATTTTTTTAATCACAAATTTTGTTTTTGTATGAGTCTATTGAAGTAATCATATGGTGTTTATCTTTTATCCGATTGATACAATGTATTGTATTAATTGATTACCAGACGTTAAGTAACCCTTGCATACCTGGGATAAATCCTGCTTGTCATGGTGTTTAATCCTTTTTACATGTTGCTGAGTTTGATTTGCTAGTATATTTTTGAGGATTTTGGCATTGATATTAATAAGTGATGCTAGCATCTGGTTTATTTTCTTGCGATGTCTTTCTGTAGTCTGGGTTTAAGGGTAATACTGACCTCAGAGTATGAGTTGATGTGTGTTCTCTCTTCTAATTGCTTGGAAGTGTTTGTGAAGGTGTGGGTGTTAATTCTTTCAATGTTTGACTTACCAGTGAACCTAGCTTGTGGGAAGTTTTTAAATCATTAATTCAACCTTTTAAGTTGTTATAGGGCTATTCAGATTTCAGCAGGGGGTGTAACTACATCCCCACATCAAGTACAGGTTCTGTCTTATAAGACCAGTGGGGTAGGCTCAGATCCTCCATAGCTTGCTATGGAGTGAAGACAAAGAACATGCAAAGCAAAGTAAATACCCTTGATGTGGGATTGAAAAGTCCTGAGTAGTCTGAGCCCTGCTTACCACTATAGTCTGTCGCTCTCCATTGCTCTCCCACTGGACCCACCTTCTATTCCCCTAAATGTACTGTGATGTGTCCTCCCTCTGCACCTTGACATGCTGCTCCTGGCCTGCTACATTCATCCTTTCTGTCACCTATAGTCCATCCCTTTCCTCAACCTTGCCTGGAGACCCCCCCTTCTGGCTTAAGACTTAGCTCAGGCTAAGGAATTACTTCCTCCAGCGAGCTTCCTGGCTGTGTTACCGCCTCCTCTAGGATCACCCAAAACCACCATTCGCCCTTCTGTTAACAGCGGTTATGAAGCTGTTTGGTCCTCACCTCTTTTCCTATCTTCCTCCTCCACCTGTGTCTTAGTCTTGCCTGTCACACGGGCCCAGCACAACACAGAGCTCGGAAGCATGCAGGGAGTGAGTGAGTGTGTTTTCTTCCTGGCACAGGTGAGTGAGCTGCCTTCCCACATGACCCACAGGGGTGATTTACAAGTGAAGGAGAAAGACCAAAGGAGACCAGCCACGGCACCTAGAGAGGTGAAGAGGACTCGGAGGAAGCTCCCCTCTACCTCCATCCCCAGCAAGTACCATGGCTATGAGGATCTGCTGACAGCTCAGCCGGATTCAGCCTTCATGGAGCCAAAGGGTATGTGAGGGTCGGGGCCTTCTTCACTGCCCAGAGAAGGCATGGCCAAAGCAGGACTGGTGCCAAGCCTTCTTTTCTCAGCCTGGTGCTGTCCTCTGTCTAAATGTCAGAGGCTCCTCAGGGTGTCCTGGCTTGCAGCCCTGCATGTCAGGACCCCTGTCCTTTATTGGGCTTTCACTGGCTCGGGGAAGACACTACTCATTCGGAAATTCCAGCCAGGTTGGCCCAGCTGCTCTGGTAGGAAGTCTTTCCTCAGGAAGGGCTTCAGGAACAAACACCCAGACTGTCAGATTCCTGAGCTTGTCCCAGCCCCCTTAAATTAAAAAATGAACATCCCAAATCCTCCCTGGTTGGTTTGAGGCAAAGGAAGCAGCTCCCTCCCTGAGCCCCTTATTTCAGTCTGCTGTGTTAGAATATCTGTGCTTCTAAAGGAACGGCTCTTGGGTATCAGCCCCTACAGTGTGATGCCTGAGGTTAACGGGGTCCACTGGGGTGGCCTTTCCTCCACACTAATGCAGTGTTTCCATTAGGATCTGTACTCATAGGGGACATATTTACCAACTGAATGATGGAACTTCAGAAGTTGGAACAAGATGAGGGAGGTCTGGGAGTAGAGCTTTCATATTGGGGACTCTTGAGTCCTTTTACCAATGTCTGCTCTGAGGCTGGGGAAGGCAGGAGTCAGGAGCTGTGTCTCTGTCTCCCCCTTTTGCCCTAGGCATCCAGAAGAACGCACAAGCCCTGCAGCACATGTTGAAGCACCCTCTCCTCTGCCACCCCTCCAAGCCCAAGCTGGATACTATTCAGAAACACTATGTCCCCAAGGAGAAGCGGGTAAACATTCAGCCTACTCAATATGTGCATGACCCTGGAGGACCCCCACAGGCACAGATGTTGCTGTCACTTGGGATCCTCTGAGGCCCCACTACTCCCTGCCTGGTGCTGTGATAGCATGAGGTGAGGCCAGGAGACCCTGTGCCTGAGCCTGAGATAAGCCTCCTGCCTACCTTCTGGCAGGCTCAGAGGATCCCAATCCCAGCCCAACGGAAGACTCGAGCCCAGATGTTGGACGACATCCTCATTCGCATGCGGGATCCCCGGAACGTTACCGAGGCTCCACTAGGTATGGCTCTCCTCAGCTGCCAGCACCCAGTCAGCAGTTGCTCATCTGCTAGTGTGAGGCGGAGAGCGAGCTTATGTCAGAGCCAGAAGGGCTCTTGGAGGGCGTCTGCGCCAACCATTCTGTGTGCAGATGGAGAAACGGAGAAGCGGCGTGAAGCGGGGAGTTTCTCAAAAGTCACATAGTGTGACAAGAACCTGAACCAAGGCTTGAGATAGAGTCGGGGGTGGTGGTGGGGGATGCCACTGACTTCCCACTGCCCCAGGCTGCAGAGGCCATTTTCAGTCCCTTTAACCTCCTCTCCCACGCTCTCGTCGGGGCACCCCGGGAATGAGAAGCCGGCGAGCTGGGCACTGATCACTGCTTTTGCCCCCGCAGGCGCGGTGTTGCGCCGGCGCGCAGACCAGCGCCTGGTGAACCAGAAACAGTACCTGGAGGCCAAGCGGCTGCTGAAGGAATACCGCGCGCGCTACCGGCAGCTTGTGCGCGGCTCGCTGCGGAAAGTGTTCCGGGCCACCCCACCGCCCCAGGAACCCCCGGCCCTGCAAGAGAGCCAGCCCAAGTTCGGCGGTTTCCTTGAGTTCATGGATGAGTTCTGCCAGGAATCCACGGCCAGTGACTTAAAAGGCTAGGGCTGCGCACGGGCCCATCCCGAGGGCTCAGCGCTCCGGATTGCAGAGGCTGCTGGGTAGGGCGCAGGCCTGGGGCCTTGACTTGCCTCGAGACCGGGAGCTCGTGGGAACCTCCCGCCTCGGGCCAGGCAGGACCTGATGCCTAGCTCAGCAGTAATAAAGAGTGGGCACATAGCGCAATCGAATGGGTGCCAGGCTTTCTTCCTTGGAAGCCGGCCCAGGGTCACAGCAGTGTGGTCCCACTGGAAAAAACCCGTTGGTTCATGCATCCCAGCAGCTATGATTGGTGCTAGGACAGAAAGTGGGAGTGTTGAAACAGAGCAGCAGCATAAGTTAACTCTCGTGTCCACTGCCAATACAAGGCAGAGGGGCCAAAATCAAGGTCTCTAAGGCCAAAAATATGTGCTTTTTCTGTTGGACAGCTTTTCCCGTTGTGTAGGGGCAGGGTAGAGAAGATTGTGTTCCCTTATTAGATGGCTATGATTACCGAGGTGGGATGAGCCGAGAGGGAGGGTTTACATGGAGTTTCCCAAGGTTCTTTAATCCAAAGCACAAGTTGAAGGCACGAATACAAAAACATGGAGCTGTGGCTCCAAAATACACACTGGAGCTATGCAATCACTGGGCTCCTGGTAAAGTAACGCTCTGGCAAGGCACCCTGTGGGTTGCCCCATTCTTGAGGGTACAGAGGAGCATCTGGAGAGGGCCCCCTGGGCTGGATTGCAGGATGCACATCTGGGATAAATGCTGGGTGTAACATAATCCCCTGGGCAATCCTTCCTCCCGGGGATGCCTACGATTCAGACATGGGTAACAGGGGGTTTCCAGGACCTGGAAAGCAGTTATAAGGATTAATAGCTTCAGCAAGGCAGATTCCCACAACCTAAACTGCAGCTAAATATTTACATACTATCACACTCAACTGCACAGTCTTAACACAAGTGGCCAACTGTTTACTCTCAGCTGTGGTCATACCCAGATACACTCATCATCATAGCATACTATACAGGTCACGCCAAGTGACCTGCATCTTGCCCATTCACACAAACATCTGAACAGATCTGAATGCAAACACACTGTGACCCACCGCAGTCTTGTACTGGGGCATAGTGCTGACTCATCAGCTTGGATCTCCTGCCTCCAAATCATCCTTCCTCTATTGTTAAGAGAATCCACCCCAACAGTCACACTGTCAACTTCACTGGTTCCACCTGGGCTACTTCCTTCAGTCAGAAATCCCATAAAGTCATAGGCTCTTGGGCCTAAAAGGCCTGTAGGCATGTCTCTGTCACAACACCCATGCCAACAGCTTTTTGCAGTCTCCCCAATAACCAAGCTCCTGTTTGCACATCAAGTGATAGGGAGTTGTGTCCTCCAAAGGGTGACCCTTCTTTCTCAGGAAGGCTGTTGGACAGTTCTAGCACCTGGCTATGCTATCTAAGTCCCTCTGCCTTTTTTTTTTCCCTTGGTCCTGGGGATTGAACCCAGGGGTGCTTAATCAGAGCCAGGTCCCCAGCCCTTTTTTTTTTTTGTATTTTATCGAGAGAAAGGTCTGAGTTGCTTAGGGCCTTGCTATGTTGCTAAGGCTGGCTTTAAACTCACGATCCTCCTGCCTCAGCCTCACAAGTGGAGGGATTACAGGAATGCGCCTCTGTGCCTGGCAGCCCCTCTTTTTGGCTAAGAGTATATCTGCTTTCTGCCCTCCCAGATCAACCCTTCATTTATATGAGAAAATCCTGAAAAGGTGACACCTAGGTGGGCCAAACAATTAACTTTTTAGTTAAGGACTGTCACCTCTCCTAGACTGTGCTAAATTTTTGATGATCATTCTGAATTCCTGATCTGATTAGCTTCCCCATCTTGGAGAATTTTGTAGCGAATAGTAGAGAACTGGCTCCTTCTCCCTCACATATACCCAAATGTCATCAAAAGTGTCCCCCAGAAGGGAGCCACCATGCAGTACAGTGACTGCTATCCCTCTAGTAAGACCATATGGCAGCTCATATTTTTAACTCATCCTTTCAGCTTCAGCGTGAACTATTTTTCTAGTCACTTGTCCAAGTTGCCAGTGAGCACCATGGGAGTCAGATGTGGCCAAAAGAGAACTAAAGTAGGTACAGATCATGCCTCACATCTCATGTTGCCTCCTAAAGTGGGGGTGCAAAGGGAAAACAGCCTGGTCTCTAGCCCTGCCAGTTCCAGTCCAGAGGAGGGGACACCTATCCCAGAAAGCAACCAGTAACACATTTAAGGCTAGAGGTAGAAGGTGGCAATGCCTTAAGGTGGCAGAAAAACCAATTGGTAGCTTTGGACTGAGATGCTGTCAGGGCCAGTTTTCATGTGTAACTGAAGACCTCCCTGCCTGCCACACCTGGCTATCAAGGAATTAATGAGTGGTGTGTAGAGCATTTGTTCCTCGATGGGCCAACAGATATGTGAGTCCTGTTTCCAACTTGTTCATTTTAACCATCCTACTTTTGAAGGTCTTGGCCAGATGATTTTAAAAATCCCTCACATGCTGATTTAATCATGTATGACACCAATTCTTCCAACAGTCTTCCAAATTGGAAGAAATGAAACAGGATACGTTTGTTCACTGTTGGATAAGAAACTGATGAATTCCTGAACAAAGATTCCAAAAATGGGGTATTTTTAAAAATCAGATTTGTAAGTACAGTCCTAATATGACAGTGTCATCCCATACATTCTTTCTTTACTCACACTTTTTCTTGGTGCCTTCATTAGGAGTATGAATGTGAGAATGACAGTAAATTGTAAATTGGTGATAACTACATCATGAGTTACATCCGAAGATATAGTACCATGGAAGTCCCATCCCAGCTCCGAATCTCCCCATCATTGTGAATGGCCAGCACAGAACATTCTAACATAAGGTATCTCCCTTTGCAAAGGCAGCAACAAAAATCAAATAACACGTGGTCTAAGCATAGCCCATGTTTGCCTGAGATTACTCTCCAGAGACAAGACTTTGATTACAACAGAATACTCAATTTCATGATTTTTTTTTTACTGTAGTCTTAACTTGGGTCTTGCCTCAAGAATACATACATTGAAAGATGCACTTTGGTACTGTGTAAATAAACAACACATCATCCCACTTGATTCCATGCCATTTTGTTGTGGCAGAAGCATCCCTGATGGGATATGCCCTGTTTGAGTCCTCTGTCTTTGTCAAAATGCTCTTTATGATGAGTTGGAGGGGGAACAGCCAGCAGTAGCAGTCCACAAGGATCCAGGTTCCCTCTCCAATTGTAGACAGCAGGTTGAATAAATTATAATCACTGGACCACCAGGGAGCCACAGCAGGTTGAATAAAACCAATAGACAATGCATTTCCTATTTTTAGGTGGAAGGGGAAAAGGCCCTTAGGGCAATTGTATTTGTACAGTTAAACAGCACAGCAGTTGCAAAAAGAAAACCCATTGGTTGGCATTTAAGATAATAATTTCCCCCCTTTGCATAATACCTACTCTGTTATTCCAACTTTAACTGCTCTGCTGGGAGCTCAGGGTTAGTGATGCCCAGTTTGATTCAGACTTGACTCTGAGGGACAGCTCTATTCCCATCTGGCATTATGGCTTGGTGGATGGGTGGTGCCAACCAGGGAGAAATCTGGCTGCCACCATGTTAATTTGGAACCAGGGTCAATAGGTATTCTTGAGCTCTAACAGCATGATATTTGAAGAGTGCATTGTCTGGGTCTCATTAAATGAAAGGAAAGAAAAATAAACAAGCCTTGACCTTGGCTTTTTCTGGTGTCTTAAGACACAGGAAAAGGTAGGGAGAGAGCCTGGCCAGAGTTTGAGGTTGCCTCTCACTAAGAGTTACCACTTTCCAAGCCATTAAGAAAGCATTTACTCAACAAGGGGTGCCCCCTAGAAAGGAAAGGAAAAGAAAATACTGTAATACATAGAGCAGTCTGCACATTCAGTCTTGGCACTTTTCCTTGTCATCCAATATGACTAATCACTAAACTGATGACCACCGCATATATCTAAGTCTCTTTTCTATAGAACAATTTTCTTCAGAAAGCTACAGTGGATAATAATTGTGCGAAGATGCATTTCTGGATCATCTTCAGAAGAAAATCAGTTCCGCTGCCTCTTTCCCTAGAACCTGTCCCCCACAGGCCTACTTTCTCATCACCACAAGAATTCATAACCAGCTATGCTAGAGCTAAAGACCTGGCCAAAAGATCACTCTGTGGGTTGATGGGCTAAAAAAGATCTAAGACCCTAAGGAACTTCTGATTTTGAAAGACAAATGAAGGGCTGGTTAGCTTTTAACCCTTAGTAATTAAAATGACAATCATCCCAATCAAAACATATTACTTCCCAAGATTCCCCATTTACATTACTCAGTACACTGTGGGGAAAGTTTTCCCTACCTAGTGTGTATTCAGGAGATATAGGAACATTTTCATTTTAACTGAAAACATCAAAACAAAAAAACTATTATAAAACTTTCCACATCATTGGAGTATCCTCCTCATTCCTGAATTGTGTGTGCAGAGACATCTGTGTGTAATTTTAAGGGTTATTTATTCAGGTCCTAGAAAACTGGAGGATAAAATAGTATACAGGGCACTGAATCCTCATTTGTTAAAGAAAATAGGGGGTGGGGGGCTTTAACTTGATTTGCATGCCTACTCCAACCACATTTTAGAATTATGACCCACCCCACCCCCACCCCCGCGCTCTCCTGCTGTCCCTCCACTTTAGTGAGAAGCCAGGTAGGAAAAAAAAGAATCCCAAGTTGCCACCAGCTCTTGATGAGAGGTTAGGCTGGGAAGACATTAGGATGTTACTGAAGCGAGGGGTGGGCCACTTTTGACCATATCAGTGATCCACAACCTGCCTCATTTCTTGGCTCCTGAGCTAAAAGCTACTAGTGAAGAGAGGCCATTGTTCTGTAATCACAACAAAGATGATTCATTCTCCCCTGGTAAAATTACTTAGGAAATGGAAAGTAGTGTTACAATCAAATTCATGAATCTGACGATCTCTAAAAGTTCAAGGCAGCCTGCTGGGTGCTGAACATCCTAATGAGACCTTTGAAGAGCACTGCTATTAAAAAAAAGAAAAAAAAAAGAGCCTTTCATAAGACCATTAACATAGTCTCCAGCCACACACACATTCAAATACATTCCACTGGACATTGAACTCCTCAAGAGCAGAGACTATCCATCATTGTATTTCCAGCACAGGGTTGGCACAAGTTTAAGAGTTCCGGAAGCATCTGTCAAATGAGCAGAAAGGATGAAGAGCACAGCCTTCACCAGACAAGCATAATGGCAGCTTCCCATTTAGGCAATTTGCCAGTTTATAATAAGACAGCAATTAATTAAGCAGCTTTTAACCTCCCAGAGGCATTTTTTCCTTTAGGTAAAAAAGAATAGAAACCTACAAGGCATTATTTATGATTAATTCTTCCTCCAGGCAAAAATTTAAAAATTAAAAATTGTAAAAATAAAGGAAGCCACTTAGGAAAGGTTTCCTGGGCAAGCCTCAGCTAAGACTTACCAGTTTTCAAAAAGAAAGAATAAAAGGAAAGGGGCCACAGGCTGGGTACGTAATCCTTTGATCTGTTACCAACCCAACAGACCCAGATGACTTCTTCTACTTGATACAATCAATGGTTGTAGAACATGTTCCCAGTCTTTCCTTCTCTGCAGAAACAGGCTGAGAGCCCTCTTCTGAGGGGGCCACATTTCTTGGATTTCCCGTCAGAATGACACCTACTCTCCCACCTCTCATAACTTACCCTTAATAAGAAAAAACAGAAAGCCTATATATACACAGGAACACATTGGTAGGATGTGGGAAATCTGTATGAGTTGGACTTCAATAGTAAGAACATATGTTTTCTGAAATACTATGTGTCTCATTCAAGTTCATTGCCCGATCATTCTATTCTCCTTCTTTGTCTTTTTCTCTCACTTCTGTTCCCCAAAGAATTCATGTCAACAACTCTATTTGTGACCAACTTCATAGGCAATAAGAAATGAATTTTTTTTCAGAAAAAGTGTTCAGATTTTAGTTTAAGTATGTGAAGCATCTTAAAATACAGATAATACCTTAGTGGTTTTTTTTTTTCCTCCTCCAAAGCCAAGCAGATGAAAAATTAATAAGTCGCTTCCTTCCTTAACCTAACCTGCTATGCCTACATTTAAAGGACTACTGCTCAGCAGAAGTGTACAAGGCAGCTGTCATACCATCCTTGGCATCACAGTAGGTGCACGGGGGTGGTCAGAAACTGGGACTGGAATATCCGCCTAACAAGAAATAGCTTTTTACTCTTCATCTGAAGTCTAAACTTGTTGCTACTGCTATGCAAGTTCTTAAAATCAAAATATTAACTTGGGGAAATATTTAAAATATATATTTTTCATCTATTAAAAATATTTATCTTTTTTACCAAAAACAAAAATCAATTCAAACTGAAAATGTTTTTCAAATTATTGGTGCTATAGAAAAAGGTGGGAAGTGGAAAAATAAGTATCTTTACCACTACCAATAAGACTAGCCTTTCCAATAATATTTATGAAGATCAAAGAGGAAATACATCAAATGGCAGTAACTGAAAAGTTTTCTCTATGGGCATTTAGTAAGGTCACCGTCCCTGTCCTCTGCAGACCAGTGCCAGCTCTTTTATTTTGGGCACTAATTAAACAAGTTACACAGGACCTAGAACTGAAAGGGTGTGAATATAAAGTCACGAGATTGATGTATGTTTTTTAAACATACATCTGCACATGTGCGTACATGCAGAATACATACATTCAGGTGAGATGCTCCCCACCAGAGTTGTCACTGAAGAGGTCCCATATATCTCAGTAATGACCATAATGCTTCAGTCATCTCTGGAATTTCTCTTTGGGAACTATTTGGGAACTGTGAGCTGCACAAGAAAATGGCTCTGTTTTTCAGTGGTACCTCATTTATGACTCCAAACCCTATTCATAAATTTTCTTTCCCAGAGGCTTCAAATAGCTTCTGGCTAGTTTCGAACTTAAAATTCTCTCTCCTGTAACTCCGAAAGATTTAGGATCTGTCCTGAGAAGAAAGTACTATAAATTACTTCCTTCAACAGTGAGTCTGATCTGGACCCCATCTTTTGCCTTAGTAGAAGGAGGCTGGAATACATGATCATTAAGGTGCCTTCCAGTTCTCACATTTTGGGAGTGAATCTATGTCTCTAGAAATTTCTAGACTTTGAAGACAGTTTTCAGAAATGTTTCACCAAAGACAACATCATTGGAAAAATTATGCATATGCTGTGGGGGCTAGTCAAAGGAGATATCATATATGGGAATATATAAGCTCTGGAAGGTTTGTTAAAATGCCAGTCATGTGACTATAGTAACAGCTCATACATACACAGGGAATGCCAGCCCATCTGAGATTCCCTAAAATTTTCTTTATCTCTATTCTCAATGAGCCCAGATGGGCAGAAGCACCAAGCACCACCAGGGATGCAAAAGACACATGGTGTCAGCTGCTAAGGAAAATAAACCCCAAAGGTCCATGGGACTGAATTTACCAGCTGAATCCAGCTAGATACCTTGTTTCCACAGTATGGAGTTTCAGCATCATTCTTTACCTGACTTCAGGGAATTTAGGATTTTAGATCAACATTGCAGATAATCACTGGCCATGAGGAAAGTGTTAATGAAGCCTCACTACAGTTGGTCTCACGGGCTGGAACCCCTATGAAAACACAACATGTAAACCGAGGGAAGGAGAGGAAATGGGACATCCTGTCAACTTAATTACTTGCATATGGATTTTTCAATGCTCAATGCGCAGCCTGCTTTTCTTAGGTGCCCCTGGATTGCAGTCTATTTGGACAACCTGTTAGTATAGAATACCCATGAGACTTGTGGTCAGTCTGGGCAATGCCACTTAGTTGTTGAGAGAATATGAACATCTGCACTTCAGTTTCATTATCTGAAAAAAAGGTACCACTTATGAGTTAGGTCTCTTAGAAAGACCAAATTAAGCTGTTTGGAAATGTCAACCATGCAGCATTAATCACATTATTTTTTTAAAAAGAGAACGTAAATTAACTTTTGTAGAAGCACATGCTCAACTGATTTAGGTAGGTAAAGGTACTTGTGGCAAAAGCAAAGAGAAAGAGGGATATAGCAATATCATTTTGGGTCTTCCAAAGTACTACACTGCTCCACTTCTTTGAAAGACATGGAATTAATTTTTATCTGCAAGATTGATTTAAAACAACACCCTGTTGAAAGAAGTCAGGAGGTCTATCAGCTTGAGAAGGTATCTCCTCTTTCCTCTACCATTTCTAACTGTGTCAATTATGCTCCTAAATGAGGCCATTCCAAATCTCACTCCAAGTGGGTGCTGTTAGATTTGGCCCAGAAGCCCTCAGAGGTGGTCACTTCAATGGGGATGATTTGGCGGTGAGGAGTGCTTCTGGTCTGAGTCCCAGAGAAACAGACACAGTTCCCTTGTACTTTGACTACCAAGGCCCTGAACCCTCTCAGAACCATATTAGACAGTGTTTTGCCATAAAAGAAACCCAAATGAGAACACTCAGCTCTTCTGGATAAATGATCAAGGTCAAAGACCTCTTAAAAATAGGTAACACTGTTCATTAAGTGCTACTTGGCCCCAGCCATGCTGCTGGACCGTAGGAGATACTGATCCACGCTTCCTTTTCGACGACTCACAGTCCGCCTCTCACTGTCAAACATGCGTTGCAACTGCAGAGCCAGCTGTCGGTCCTCTTCCTCCTGCTGTAATTTCTGCTCCATCTCTCGCAGTGCTGGGTCTGTTGGGGCCAGACCCACCTCACTGCTGGTTTGTCGCAGTTTCTTAAGGGAGCCATTTTGTTCCAAGTGTTTGGTCTTACAGCGTCTTTTTCGACCTCGCCGCAAGGAAGGAAGTGGCTCTTCACCCAGGCTGTCTACCAGAACACCATTAGCCAGATCAAAATGATTTAATGTCTTCAGCTGTTTCTTTGTTTTGAGGACTCCACCCAAAACATTGTTTTTGGGTAGCAATGAATTAACTGTTGAGATTTTCACGGCTGTGCTTATGTAAGTTTTGTCTAACCTGGTATCTGGAATTGACCCTGACCCCTCAAACTGTTCCCCCTCCAAAGTCCCACTGGCTCCCCCTTTGAGTTCCAGTGGGATCTCAGTGCTCCTTTTACCATCACTGTCCTCTTCAGCTTTTGTTTGGCTAACTGAGGGGAAATACTCAAGGTCAGTGGGAGTGGGTCCAGTCTCCTCAGAGAGTACCTGCCTACTGCGGAGTCTTGTATTTGAATCCAGAAGTGGCTTTTCCTTGCTAGAATGGATAATTTCAGAACTTAGTAAGTCTTCGCCTGTTTCAGATGCCAGGGAAGTTAGAGTGGCCTTTGAAAGGGTCTTTTTAATCTGCCGCTCTTGAAAGATCTGTTCCCACTTTTTGAGGATCCGGGGACTAGCCTCATAAGAAGTCTGCTTCTGCAGGCTTCTGTTTAGGTTGCGAGGTGTTGACTTGATGATGAGGGGACTTAGCACACGGCCATCAGGGAGTCTCTTAGGAGGAGTACATGGTGAGCAAACAATGGGCTTGAAATGGTTCAGTTCTTCAGAGATGCTGTCATTGCTCTCAGGACTGATAGAGCGCTCTGGCTTATGTAGGGAAGCCAAGGAAGAGAGGGAGCTGAAGGGCAGACGCTTTTCGATGGTTAAGTCAGGGGCTGAGAGACAGCGGTTATTTTGAGTGGACAAGAGGACACCAATGATGGGGTTGGAGGCTGGAGTCATAGTTGTGACCTGAAAAATATTTTAAAAATTACATAGACATGTATTTTTTTTTCCACATAATTTCTTCAGGACAGCAGAGAATAGGGACAGAGAAGGAAATAAAAAGAAAAGCAAGGAAGAGTGATGTGAGACCAAGAAAAGGAAAGAGTCTCAATCTGAAGTGCATTCTATTTAGCAGAAACTTCTATGCACTTGGATCAATTAATAACATTAAAAATCTGAAGTAAAGAAACATCTAGAGCTTTTAAAATGCTTCCCTAATGGTTCTGATATCACTCATGTGGCTATTAATTGAAACCTTCTTTTACATCTGTGTGTAGAAGTTTCCAACATAACTAATATGCCTGGGACCCATTCCCCATTCTGCCTCTTCTCATAGAAATTGTTTCTTCCACATGCAGAAGATGCTACAGAGAAGGACTAGAGAGCCTCAACAGCCTGTGGCTGTGATTGTACCTTGGCTTTGATGGTTGGAGCTGCTCTGAGTCTGTTCTTCACTCTGTCCTGAGCTGTGTCACTGCAGCTCTGACTCCTCTGCACCTTGGAGTTTAGCTTCCTAAGAAAATAAAGAAAAGACAAAAAGTGAAAATTAGTTCACACTAGTTTAGGAAAAAGATGACAATCTCTTTTGTGCATTCTAAACCACTCACCAAGAAAGACAAATCTCTTGGGCAGCTACAATACAAAATGAGTTAATTTATTAACAAAACACATTCCAAGAACAAACCTTCAATAGACGAATGGATAAAAAAAATGTGGCATTTATACACAATGGAGTATTACTCTGCATTAAAAAATAACAAAATCATAGAATTTGCAGGGAAATGGATAGCATTAGAGCAGATTATGCTAAGTGAAGCTAGCCAATCCCTAAAAAACAAATGCCAAATGTCTTCTTTGATGTAAGGAGAGTAACTAAGAACAGAGTAGGGAGGAAGAGCATGAGAAGAAGATTAACATTAAACAGGGATGAGAGGTGGGAGGGAAAGGGAGAGAGAAGGGAAATTGCATGGAAATGGAAGGAGACCCTCAGGGTTATACAAAATTACATACAAGAGGAAGTGAGGGGAAAGGGAAAAAAAAAACAAGGGGGAGAAATGAATTACAGTAGATGGGGTAGAGAGAGAAGAGGGGAGGGGAGGGAAGGGGGGATAGTAGAGGATAGGAAAGGCAGCAGAATACAACAGACACTAGTATGGCAATATGTAAATCAGTGGATGTGTAACCGATGTGATTCTGCAATCTGTATACGGGATAAAAATGGAAGTTCATAACCCACTTGAATCAAAGTGTGAAATATGATATGCCAAGAACTATGTAATGTTTTGAACAACCAACAATAAAAATTAAAAAAAAAAAAGAACAAACCTATCAAAAGAGAAGGAATGCTCCAGAGAGTACATCTTGTTCAAGCTTTTGTTTCCAAATTAGACCCTGCCTAAATGAGGCAAGACCAATGGCTATTTTAGAGACATGTAGGGATACTTTCCTTAACATGCTGCATTCAGCATTAAACCATCTTTACAAAGTTTCTTTTTATTAGACCCAAACCCCTTGTCAAGCAATCTAAATCAGCCATGAAATAAATATTGAAACACTTATAAAAATGCAGAGCAGCACACTGTATTTTTATGTAGGGAGTCAAAATTAAATGTAGTCCCTCCCTTAACCCTTTTACATTGAGTTTTCTAGTGACTTAAGAGACTTCAAGAACACATGATTTTCTTTCTTATTTCCTTCCTTCCTTCCTCTCTTTTTTGTAGCGTTAGGGACTGAACCCCACAGCCTCACACATGTTAGGCAAGGGCTCTCTACGACTGAGCTACATCTCTGGCACTTTTTTGTTTGTTTGTTTTTAAATTCTGAGACAGTCTCTCTAAATCGCCCAGATAGGCTCTCAGATTTGCAATTCTCCTGCCTCAGCTTCCAGTATAGCTGCAATTACAGGTGTGTACCATCACACCTGGCTAAGAACGGATAATTATTCTCTTATATATTACATCATGACTTTACAACACAAATCAAACTCCACAGTACCTGTATTGAATACTAAAGTCTACAACACTAAATTTTGTATATAGTGGGGTCTACCTTCATACCCAGCACTATATATGAATTTTACTCTTAGAATCACTTTTAAATAACTGTCACCTGCCCCACAGACTATAATTGCTTACCTTCTCCAACTCCTCCCTAATATGTCTGCTCATCAAGCTTTTGTCATATACTTACTATATGCCAGGCACTGATGAGCACTATCCAGGCACTGGGAATGCAGAAAATAACAAGTTACAGTCTAAAACTTCAAAGAATCAAAGTTCAGTGGGGCAGATGATTAAATAAGGGAATACAATACAGTAAACGGGCACACACAGAGAAAAAGTGTGCTTGAGGGGCAGAAATGGCATAAAAGAGAGGGTTACTAATAACCTATGATGGAGTAAGAACAAAGTTGGAAAAGCCTTTCTGTAGCATGTGCATTCTGTTGGACAAGTGTTTGCTGTAAGTCAAGAGATGATCCCAAAACACAAATTGTCTCCTCAAGTGACTCTATTCAGCTTTGGAATGAATTGCATCTTATGTAGCAAAATATCTGCTTTTAAATTTTTACTATGTCAGGATTAGCTCAGGAAAAAACTTATGAAGGAAGTTAAGGAATAACTCTATATAGAGTTCCTCTCCTCTCTTGCATCTCTAGTCAAAGTCAGCTATACCTACCCACAATGGCTTCTATTCCAACATTTCTGTGATGTTCCTTCCATTCAAAATTCTCCCAACCTATGTCTCATGGCCACATGATATTGTCAAGAGAAAGGGAGGGCCATGCGTCACCAAGTTCAACACTTAACCCAACCCAAATGACTAATATGAAAATTGTACTACTAATGGGAGGTACATTTGAAGCAGATGGAAAATTTCAATGTCATCCTATGAAGGCAGCTGCTTAGAAGTCAGCCTGATAGGTATTTCACTTAGAAAAATATTAAAATTCATTTGCATTCCTAGAAGTCACACTAACTGCCAGCTGTGTAAGCAACGAAGAAGTAAATTGGATGACATATTAAAATACTATGGTGAATTGTATATTTCTGGTCAGGAGAAAGGGATATAGAGCTTGAGACAGGCAGCATTATTTTAAACATATGAGTTTTTGGTGTAAATCCCATGGAAAATCAAGTACACAATATGAGGAAGAGATTTTCTGATCAATGTAAGAAATATCTTTGTAATTTTTATAATCAGACTGACTGCTGTCCCAGCAGATACTGGGCTTGACTCCATCAAAAAGATGTTCCAGCTGAGGATGGACCTAACCTAAAGTTTCAAATACTCTATAATTAAGAACTAAATTAATATAATTTTTAAGAACTTAATATAATTTATGAGTCTATCTTGTCAAAGGTAAGAAGGTAAAAGCCACTGGTTCCATGTCCAAGCTATTGGGTACACAAATGACAACTAACAGTAGCTGGGAGAACCTGTTCACATGCTTCCTAAACTTCACTATGGTGAAAGAAAAGGCCCAAACTCACACTTATAGTGACCAAGCACACACTGAGGTCACCCAAAGAGTTTCAAAAATCTTTTTGGTAAACCTTAGTACAGCATACATTATCACTGTCTCTTCCATTCATTTGGTTAACACACTTTACAGAGCACCAATTCTATACAAAAAAATAGAGGTTGATGAGAAGATAATCTTGACCCAGAGGAGCATGGAATCACTGAAATCTACTACACTATAAGAGCTACAAAAAAGACACAGATAATACATACAGCTAACCTCTCCAGGTATTTTCTCTTAAGAGTTTTATCGAGTTTTAGCTCTTATATTTAGGTCTTTGATCTATCTTGAATTCTTTTTGTCTATGGTGCAAGGTTGTAGTCCAATTTCATTCTTTTGAATGTTGATATCCAGTTGTCCCAGCACCATATGTGTGTGAAAAGACTATTTCTATCCCCCAATGAATGGTCTTGCCACCCTTGCTGAAAATCAATTGACCATAAATATATAATTTATTTACAGACTCAATTTGATTCCATTAATCTATATGTCTACCCTTATTCTAGTATCACACTGTTTTGACTGTTACCACTTTGCAGTAAATTTTGAAATAAAATAGTATGAGTCTTCCACCTTTTTCAAGATCACTTTGCATATTTGGGATCCATGCAAATTTCATACATAAATTTAAGTATTAGTTTACTGATTTCTGAAAAAAAAAAAAAAAGCCCATCAGAATTTTAATACACATCACATTGAATCTGTAAAACGTTTTGGGGAGTGCTGCCATCTTGAAAGAATTAAATATACCAATCCATGAACACTGGAGGTCTTTCCCTTCATTTACATCTTACATTCTTTCAACAATGTCTTGTAGTTTTTAATGTTCAAGTCTTGCAACTCCATGGTTAAGCTTATTTGCAAACATTCTACTTTTTTGATACTAAAAATTATATTTTTAATTACAGTTTTGGATTGTTCACTGCTAGTGTATAGAAATGCAACTGAGTTTTCTGTGATGCATCCAAGGAACAGGGCCAAATCACAGACCGAAACCTCTGAAACCATGGCACACCCCTATAATCCCAGTAACTCAGAGGCTGAGGAACAAGGATCGCAAATTCAAGGCTAGCCTCAGCAACTTAGCAAGACCCTGCCTCAAAATTAAAAACTAAACAAAGGGGTTAGGGATGTAGCTCCAGAGTAGAGTATCTCTGGGCTCAATCCTCCAGTGGAAGGAAGGATGGACAGAGAGACTGAAGGAAGGAAGGAAGGAAGGAAGAGAGAGGTAGAGGTAAGGGGGAGAGAATGAGAAAAGAAGGGGGTAGTGGGGAGGAAAGAAATCTCTGAACCTCTGAAACTATGAGCTCAATAAACCTTTCCTCCTTATATCTCTGCCTCTTAATTGGTGAAGTTATTCAATTTACATTTAACACAATTACTGATAAGGAAGGGCTTCTCCCATTCTTTTATTTTGCATTTTTCTTTTTGTGTTGTGGACCTAACTCAGGGCCTTATACGTACTAGGCAAGTACTAGCCAATCCCTCATGTCTATTTGCTATTATACTTTTTTGTTCCTGAATTCCTCCATTAGTGCCTTCTTTTTTGTTAGATTATTTCCTAATGTACCATTTTGATTCTTTTATTACAAATGCTTTTATATTTTCTTGGGAACTATAATTAACATCTTAATTTATAACAATCTATCTTGAATACTAACTTGGTTTCAATAGTACACAAAAACTTTGCTCCTACAGAACTATGCCTTCTTCATGTTGTTATTGCCATCAACTTATAAACTGTACCTATCAACACTATAATCACTATTTATGCACATGCAGTTGTCTCCCCACCCCGCCCCAGTTCAAATTTACGATAGTACAAAAGATCATTGGGTTGATGCCCCACTACTTGAACATCCTACACATCAGATGGCTTGCTCCACAACACAGCTCAGGCTATTCCCACCAATGGAAAAAAATCTGGCCTCCCAATCCCTGTAGGAAAGGCATGTTTTGTTCCCCACTGCATCTTGTGTTTTAAATATGAA